CGTTTCTCCCAGTCGTGCCTTTTTTGGAGGATTACAACAGTAGCTCTTGTCATCCCCCACTGGCCACAGCGGGTGTGTCCCTGAGCATCCTGACATGGGCAGCTACATCTGCAGGACCCCAGGTGCTGAAGAGCCAGGCTGCAGGATGGGACTGGTCCCCATGTAAAGGAACCTGGACAGACCACAGCCCCAAAGCCAGTGGTGAGCACCTGTTCTGCTGAACAACCCCAGGCAGGTCCTTCATGGAGAGGCAGCAAATGTGCCCCAGCCCCCAGTGCTCCCAAATTCCTCATCCTTCCTCTGCTGGCGTGCCCCTTGCAGATGGGCAGCTGTCTCACAGGAGCAGCATGCCACTGGGTTATCAGCATCCCTGGGCTCCCTGTGCCTTCCAGGGCAAAGGTTTGTTCAATAAGGATTTAGAAGCCAGAACTGCAGGAAGATGGAGACATTATAGGAGACAAAACATAATCTGTGCTCTAGGCTTCACTAGCAATGAAGTATAACATATTTTGGGGGGAAGTACCTGAAAGGCGATGTGGTGATGTAGCATTGTAGCTGATAAAGCCCTGATGTTCATGCTTTGCTGGTACTGTCTGGCCTCCTCACTCCTGGGATGCCAGCAGAGCGCTGCCTCCCAGCAGCTTCTCCCTGCTCGTGCCAGTGCAGGTCTCCATGTGTCTCCATGCAAATGAAGCTGTGCTGAGGTCCTGAGCTCTCACTTATGATTTACAAGATTTTGGATCTTCACAGAATTGGGCATAACCTTTCTGCTTGTTGCAGCCAGCAGTGTTTGCTGTCTCAGCGTGTTTTAAGCTTTTGCCAGCTCTCATGCATCTATTTTAGGCTGTGAGAAAAAGGGCAGCTCTCACTCCCCTCCCTGTTATTTGTCAGTGCTGGTCTTGCTTTGGAAGTTCCCACTTCCTGACAAGGGTCACAAGGTCTTCAGCATGCTAATCTAAAAATAATGCCCCAAATTTGACATCCTCCAGACAGCAATGACATGGGAAACAGGAAGCTCACAGGTAAGGGGTGCTGTGCGTCAGTGCTGGTACATGTCCCCTTGCAAGGCTCTTCCTCCAGCCCTTGGGGAACTTCTCCTTGGCAACACCTTTGGCTCACTCTCTTCTGCGCTGCCCCTTGTCCCCTCTGCCTTGCTGGCCCCACAGTGTGACTGCTCAGGGATGAGTGACCCCAGCATTGCCCAGAGCTGGCCCCACTCAGCTTTGCAAAGCTCCCAAAAGGATGTCAAACAAGTGCCTTCCAGCCCCTTCTTTCCTGTCCCGAGGGGACACAGTTCTAACTGTGTGAAGAAACAAAATGCTTTAAATACAGTCCTAATGTGACTTTGAGCATTGGCTGGGTTATCTCTGTGCAGGCTAAAGGAGGTGTTTGGGGATGAACTGACCAGATGTTTGTTCCCCTCCCCACAGCTCCACAGATCTATCATCATCACCTGGATATCCAAACCCACCTCCTGGGTTTTGTAGCTTACCAGTGGCCCCTGTTCTCTCCAGGAACACATAGATTTGCTGAATTCAGGCAGGTGATCTATGCTGGTTGAGTCATTGCTCTCATCCCAGGCCTGGCTTTTCTGCTTGCCTGTTCAGACTTTTCTCTTGAAGGAGGAATCCCCTGGGCTCTGATGGGAATAAAAAGGCCCTAAAGAGTGGGGAGCATAAACAAGCTGGGCAGAAAAGGCCAAGTTGGATGGGGCTCTGAGCAGCCTGATCTAGGAGTTGGAGCTTGATGATCTTTAAAGTCCCTTCCAACTCTAACCATTCCATGGCAAAGAGGAACCTGAAAGTGTTTTGAGAAGAAACCAAAGGACCAAGCACATGGATGGTGTTTGGGCAGAGGGTTGTCTTACAAAGCAGACCCCTTTTGCATCCTACCAGACCTGCATGCTGAGGCACAGTCATTCAACTTTTACATTCCCAAGCAAGTGGTCTTTGTAAGAGCACGTTTGGTTGCCCGATGCTGAGCTGAGCTGTGGGCAGGGGCTTTACTTTTCCCATCCTGTTGTTAACAGCCTGGTCTGTGCAAAAAGAGCTGCCCAGAGGTGTGGCTGGCATGGCATGGCACAGAGCCAGCTCCTGTGGAAGCAAAACTACCTTTTTAGAAACAGTTCCTGTTGTAATGGGATGCACCCATTGGTTGGCAGGGCATGGATGAAGATGCAGGAGCCTCCCTCCTCCCAGACCATCTTAGCACTGGCTTTCTTAGGGTATCACGGGAATTTCAGTCCAGCTTTCCTCCCTTTGCAGGGCCCCTGCCACCCCTCCAGAGAGTCCTTTGGAGCTGGACCCAGCATCCCACAGAGGCAGCAAACCTTGGCCTGAGCCACAGCTGGTGGAGCATTCCTGATCCAGCTCACCTCCTTCTCGGATAACTGCCGTACCCCTGCAGGCCTGGCCTTCCAAGAACGAGGCAGGTCAGGAATGTATCCTTCTAGGCCAAGCCAAAGACCGATTATTTTCCAAGTACAAAGCATTTGTTACCCACCAGCTGGGATCTTGACTATGCCGTCATTTTGCTGCACCCTAATGCATTTATGCTGATGTTACCTGCTCTATATATTTGAAAAACAACTTGGTAAAACCAGATGAGCCTGCAGGAGCTGGTGAAGGGGCCAGACGAGAGCCCAGGGCTGGCGGGACACGACCCGGTGCCCCGGGGAGGGGCAGGTCCCAGCCCCGGCGCGGCGGGAGCTGCTGGGAGGGGGCACCCTCGGGAGGGGCAACGGGTGTTGCCAGCGCGGCTCATGACGTGCCAGGGGAGAAGTTCGGCAGCAGGGGCAGCGGCT